TTTACCTCTTTAATGTTCCTTGAGATGATGCTGAAAAGTAGTATCGTGTGTTGTCTGGAGAACAAATGTCACTTTTATCAGTTTCATGAATTATATTTGAATTTGTCTTCATTTTTGTTAGCTTAATCTGTTGGGAACTGAGTGGCGCATTAATTTACCTCAACACCCTTTCATTTTATAAAAATTATTCTTTAATTGTGGTAATGTTAGGATTTTCTCCCTCGGGTGCCACCACCATATGGTGCCCACTACCTCAGCCCATGCGCTTCCTTCCCTTCGTGCCCCTACCCTGCCCCAGGCCCCTCCCACTTTGAGTGTTTCAATTCTGTCCTCAGGTTTCAAGGTTTAGCTTTTGAGGTTGTCTTTCTCTGGTTCTTTCTTTGGGTTCTTGTTGGTGACACCATGTATGTTTATCTCTCATGTATCTTTTATTGCCAGAATTTTATTTATTCTAAAGTAGTGTCATTGATGGCAGGAAGATTTATAAGTCGCTGCTAACAGTAGGGGTGGGGGAGAGGGTCTCTACCTGTTCATGCCTCAAGGGACAGCACGCAGCAGGGAGTGACCATATGTGGATTCGGCCAGTTCAACCCCTGTGTTTCTGAATGACAGTATTTATGCAACATTAGTTGTCTTTTCCTAACAGGTTTGGGGTCTATACTATCTTAGAGAGCGGAGTATGTGCTGTATAATCCAAATTGTTTATCTTAATTCATCCTTAACAGCAATGTGCACAATGTAATTTCCTTTTAAACATTGGCTTTTGAATGTTTTCCATTACCTTAGACAATCAAATTCCCTTACCCCCAGTGCTTTCTGTTGCAACTTGCCTTTTTTAATGAGAGATCCAGGAGATGGATCTTGAATTTTATTAACTCAGAGACAGCAAGGACCCAATTTTAGAGAAGCCCATAAAGGAGGGGAGAAATGGACAAAGGTGTAATAGAACTAAGATGGCGCTTGGGAACCAAGTCATTTCAGAGAAGGAAGTTGGCGTGAATGCTGTCAGAGCACAAGAAAAGAAAGGAAAATGGAGGGAGGCAGGAAGGGAGGAAGGAAGGAAAAGGAATTTTAACCCAATAGTTGCTCTCAGGTGTAGGTTATATTTTTGAAACCAACATTGTTGGTGATCACTGGCATAGTAGTTTCAGTGAAATGATCAAGGAAGAAGGCAGAACGGAGTTGATAAGGAATGAAGAGAAGGTGAGTAATGTCGATTTAATAATGAAAAATTACTCATTCAAGAAGCTTGATTGACAAACTAAGGGGTGATGATAATTAGTAAGGAGCATAATGCTTGAATGATTTTTGAAGATGGGAGAAATGATTATGTTTATCATCTAAGAAAAAAAGGAGAGATTTGAGATATAGGCAAAGGCAAGTAGGAGTAGGAGAGTGGATGGCAGGGGAGGAGTTGGTGACATCAGGAGCTCAGGCCCTTAGAGGGGAATAGGTAGTCCTGTGAGCTGAGTGAGTAAGAGTAAGGATAAGAGTGAATACGTGTCGTAGGTTGAGTGAGGGCTGATGTCCCATATTTGTTTCTGCAGAAGCAGACACTGATGTTAGGATTCCCGTGAAAGCGGGTTGCTGGAATGTCTTCCCAGGAGAAAAAACAAACAAACAAACAAACAAACAGTGGAGTGCAAAGTGGGCAAAGACGGGAGGAGGCCAGGCAAGCCGTCCTGGAGACCTCATCGTTGTCCCCCAAAGCTGTCATGTATGTACCTCTGCCTGTCAGTCTGTCGGTCGGTCGTGCTTAGCGGCTGCTTGGGTTGAGGACTCAAGTTCCCTGGCTCTGCTGACTCACTTTGCACCGGCAAAGCTGGGTTTCCGCAAGGAAGGGTAGGCCTGAGGGAAAGGCACAGAGAGGCTGCTTGCTGGGGAAGGGCCGAGGGGACTTGGGTGGAGACTTGGGTGGTGTGTCCTGGGGACCTTCTGGGGCTGTTTTCTTTTTCCCTTTACTAAAAAAGGATACGCATTTCCTCCCGAGCACTGCTTAAGGAGAATGTCCAAGCTTAGCGGAGGCGGGGAGAGGGCTCGATCCACGGCAAGCCACAGGCCACCGCAGGAGGGGGCATTGCAGACAGTTTGTTGTGCTGATTTGCAGGATTGTGGAATTTTCTTCAGTGCTACTCTTTCGTCAGTCTGGGAAGGTGCAGGGTTTTTTGTTGTTGATTTATCCAAGGAAGGGTTCCTGTACAAATACAGTGGTAGGCTGTATATGCGAGATGCTGAAGGAAGAGTGATTTGTGTGATTTACTGGTGGGTCCAGCCTTGAAATGAAACGAAGCCCCCTCGGCAGCCTGGGGCAGGGAGCCCACCGAAGGGTCGCCGGCAAGAGAATGGGTTTCAGAAAGTGAGTCATGTGAAAGCAATATTTTAAAGCTGGAAGAACAACTGAATGACAGAAACGAGAAACTTTAAGGTGTGTAATGTGGGAACAAGCATGCCTTGGTACCCCAGGTTGCTGAAGCAGAATGGAAGAGAAGGTTGCAGAGCAGCTCAAACAGTTGATAGATACATTGAAATACTAGGGAGGATGCAAGGAAACAGTGTGAGCCAGGTGTTGTCAAGCGTTGTTTTGGAGTCAGTGTGGGAGGGGCTACGAGGAGGCTGGTGTGAGGCCAGTGTCGGGAGGTTATGTGGGCCACTTGCGTGAGCCTGCACCCGTAGGAATGAGTCATACGGAGGAACCGTTGCGCTGGCGCTGAGCTGGTTCTGACAGTGTCTCCAGCTGCGTGATGTACGGGAATGTACGTGCTCTACAGCCACTTAGGATGCAAGTTACTAAAGTAGTGCCTTTGACGTAAATCCCAACTTGGTTAAGGCAGGAAGAGTTTTCTGTTAGAGGTCGAAGACATAGGAAGATTTGTTTCCCAATCAATAAAGGCTTGTAAAGAGCACAGGAAAAGGCTTTAGAAAGGAAAGAGTCTAGACAATATATCTCTGGGCCTGGAGTGTGTGCTCACTCGCGCCAATACCCGCAAGGGCGCCGCATCTCTGTCTGCACAGCAGGCTCTGGGGTCCTGTTCTGTGCACATTTGCTAATTTGCTAAGGCTGCCTGTTCTAGTGGTGTATTTTTTAATTAAAAATTTAATGGTAGGAAAAAACACGCACTTGTGTTTTCTGAACATCCATTGCGGTTCTGCTTCTATTCCGTGGATTATTTCTGCAGTTTGGACTTCATGGCCTGTACCAGATAGCTTTGCTCTCGTGGAGTATTTGTCAGTCAAGTATTATGATGTCTGAGTATTAATCCTTGTGCGATCACACGTAAGGATGCACTCTGGATGGTGAGTATGCACCGTGGGTCGTGCCCACCACCTGCATGTTGCTTTTGCCCAGCAGTCTGTCCATTGCCGTGTTTTCTTACTCATACCCTTGACTTCTGGACTGTCGCGTTCCTCTTCATCTCTGTACAATGACTCTTGTAGAGTTAATGAATCATGTATGTCACATGTTTTATATTGACATGAGAAATTGCTGTTTTTGTGAAACAGTTGTCAAATATTGACAGTTTCGTGTGATACAACCTAACATGATGATTGCTTCTGTCTACAACATGGACATGTTCCCCTCCCCAGTCATAGTTTTCTGAGCCTGTAGCAGATTCGAGAAGAGAATCTTATATAGGGCCAAGTGATTGCTTTTGGGGAGGCGGAATCAATTTCGAAATACTTTTGTTCTTCATCTCATCCACCAGAATAGCTCCCCCACTTGTATCTGTTTTACATATTAGTCTTTTGCATAAAATTTCCTTTGGAAGCCGTGCCATACGCTCGCATTCCCTCTGAACGTTAAAGCTCTGACCTGACCGAGAACGAGGACGGTGCTGGCCGGGAGTTGCCAGGTTTCCTTCGAGAGGTCAGTGTCTCAAGTTCAAAGAAACTGTAAGGTTTACAGGTAGTTAAGCAACTAACTGCCATTTTATACCATTTTCTTAACCCTTGGTCTTGGGTAAACCTCCAGAGTTCAGAATTGTATTATCACTGTCATTTTGTATCTCTTAAAAGGCTCCTGTGTCAGGAGGCTAAGCTTGGGGTTTTTCTTCACGCTGTAGCCCCTGTCTGGGGCTGGCTTTGCCTTCAAATACTCCTTTACAAAGAAACGTCACAGTCCTACTTAGGAATCCTGGTGTGTCCAATCTGTCAGCATTTTCTCGGCCTGATTCTGATGAAACAGTCCATCTGCTCTGCGTCTTTGATCTTTGGGAAAATTGCTTAACTTTGTCAAGGTGCTCTACAGGTGTTAATATTCTCTGATTTTCTACAATATTACAGTTAACTATGGCAAAGGCATTTGTAATGGTAAAGATCAAATATGACTCAGGAAAAATAAAATTAAGAAATGAGAGATTGTTTAAGCTCTTGGACAATAAGAAGTAACTGAGGCTGAGAGAAGTGCTGTGACTCAGTTATCAGAAGACAGGGACAGAGATGGAATTGGACCCTGAGATCCTGCTTTCTGATCTAGTGCTCTTTACACTGTGCTTCCTTCGATGGATGTTAGTATGTGCAGGGCAGGGATATACTGGGGGCCTCGCGGGTGGCACAGCGGGTTGAGCACAGTCCTGCGAAGCTGTCCGCAGCCTCTGCAGCGCGGGTTCAATTCCCGGCCGGCCAGGGAGATTCCCACGTGGCGCGGCAGACTCTCCTGCCTCGCCCGCTGCTCCCCTCAGCAGTGTATTTCAGTAGATCTGCCTGTTCTGCTCCCCACTCTGTCTCTGGTGAATCCTCTCACCCTCCTGTGCCTCTGGCCTGTACCCCAGCTCTTGTATAAAATAAATAAATCTTAAAAAAAAAAAAAAAGACAGGAATACGTTGGGAGTGAATTCTGGCAGCCCCGATGGCCTGGGGAGAAGGGGCTGTCACGCAGGGCGCTGAGTAACTAGAGAATAGGGAGCTTTAAATGGCTCTAATAAAGCTGAATGGAATTTTTTTAAACCCCCTTTTCTCTCTCCCTTTTCCCCTTCTTCTTTCCCTGAATATGGATCTCACAGTTTCTCCAAGCTGGCGCCGAAGATGAGAATCACACACATGAGTCACTTCCGCCTGGCCAGCCTCGGCCTGCTCCTCCTGACCAATGTCCTCCCTGGAACAACTGGCCAAGGGGAATCAAGACGACAGGAACCCGGGGACTTCGTGAAGCAGGATATTGGCGGGTAAGAACCCCGAGCACCCTTCGAACAAAGAAAGACTCGTAAATTCTTGCCTTACACCAAAAGCTTTTCGTTCTCTTTGAGTGAACTGAAAGAATCTGGTTCCCGATGCCTAAACACTGCATTGTATTTGGAAAACATTATCAACTCAGACTCTCCGGGAAACGGACTTCAAAGGTCTAGGGCAACTCCCTAGCTCATGTTTGAATTCCCCTTGTAACATCCTAAAAGCAGTTCTCTCCAGAGCTGTTTGCTTTCGACATTCTCTCCTCTCTCCTACATCTTCAACCTGTCCCTTTTTACTGGCCGTGTGCCATTAACACATAAACGTGATCAGGAATCGCCAATCTTACATGAAATTTTTCCTTCAGATAGTGCCTTCGATCTTTCCTCCCCTGTGCAGTCACACTTCTTGAAGAAGCAATCTCTTTCATTGCCTACACTCACCACTCACACAACTTGCACGCGCCACCACCCACCGCTGTTTGATTTCCAACCCCAAGATTCTAACGTGACTTCTGCAGTCAGGATGGCTCACGTTGGCTCTGTTGCTGCGTTGGTTCTAGTAAGCTGTCAGGTTACTGTTTCTGTAGTACTGATATTCAGCATTGTTGACTGTCCCTCCTTCCTTTGACTCCTCTTTACTATGAAATAAAATACGAATATTTTATATACACATGTGCACACGCGCCATCTCAGTTGCTCTTCCTCACTTGCCTGGAGTGTCAGAACCCTATAGCCAACATGTCAGACATGTCTACCTGGCTGTTCCAAAAATTCTTCATCCGTTAAAAAAATACAACAACACTCAACAACAAACACACACAAAAAGCTCCTCTTCCACTTTTTCTACCCAAATATAAGTATTCATTTTAGTCAATGGCACCACCATGTACATCACTCCTTAAGCCAGAAACTTGGCATCATTCTTGCCTATTCTCTACCCTCCCTCTCTAGAGGGCTCAGTCACCAAGATCTCATCTGTACCTCCCACAGCCCTTGGATTCATCTACTTTTTATCCAGCTTTCCTGCTTCCACCCTAATTTAATCTAATGGTGCCTTCCACTTGGAATAGTACATGAATCTCTAGTTGCTCTTCCAGAGTCTTGCTTCCAATCCAGCTAACCTCCTCTCTGCAACCAGCATTTCTTCTACAATGCATGCTGTGTCGTATCTATCCTGTTTTCAGATTCTTTTAATGACTCCCTAGTGTCTTTAGATTAAAATTCAAGCTCCTTAATATGATTTTGCAAGTCTCATTATGACCCAGGGTCTACCCATCTTGTCAGGCTTTCTTCTTAGTCTTGCTGTCATCAAACTCTGTTCTTCAGCTATACTAAACTTCTTTTGACTTTAAAAACCAATCTCATTCAGGGAATGCCATTACTAGAGATGATCCCCTTAGCCTTGAAATAGTTCATTACTAAACAGGATGTTTTATTCTCTGATAGTGGCTTTTGTGGGGGAGGCATTCACATTTGGCTACTGTCCCATATTCTTGGAAGCATTAGGACTTGGTCCTAATTATTTTTGCAGAGTTGATTACCATAATGTACTCTGAGGCTCTCCATCTTCCGTCATCATTGTCAACAGTGGCCTCTGGGGCGGTGGGCTACACAGGAGAACTTATATGGCCTTAGCAAGTTGACCCTTGAGACCCTTTATGTTCTTCAGCCCAGTTTAGAAAAACAGACCAGTTCTGCTTTCTCGTTACACTGTGTGTTGGCTGGATGGAGAAAGACTCCTCAGAGCGCATATGCAGAACAAGGAGAAGCCTGGAGGGACCACACCACAAAGGCACAGGCCCGCTCCAAGGGCATCTCGTTTTTATTTAGAATCAGACAGAAAATAAAAAAGATCAAAGAAGCCAGCAGGCAAACAGGGGATGCGCATGGTATGGGCGACGCATCACCTGCCGGCCACAGCCAAGGCTGGGAAATAGGGAGAAAGTCAAGGAAAGTCTCAGCGTTTATGCTGCTCTAACTGTGACCAACCTATTGTGTTTCTGCGCGGGCTGTTTGCAGCATGTGGAATCCTCACACCAGGACTGTCACCCTGAGAGGTTCCTGATCTCAAACTTTCGCTGCACACCGAGAGGCACAGAATAGTCAAAGCAAAGAGTAGTCAAGGCAAAGACAGAGAATAGTTGTAACTTGGGATCACCCAAGCTCCCACACTGCTTTATTAACCCTTCATTTATCTGATTTCATCAGGCCGGGAGAGAAGTTCTGAATAAGATGGGAGTTCTAAAGAAATGAGCCATATGTCTCTGAGTGTTAAAGCCCTTTAACTTTAACTCTGAGAAAAAAGTTCCTTAAAAATGTATTACATGCTTTGTAAAATCCTAAGCAGGGATTTTGAATGGAGTAGTGCCCTTCTTTTATGATGTTTTCATCGTAAAGAATATTCCTTCTACATCTGCTTTTTTTCTTCTTGTGTCTCCACACTCTGTGTTTGTGGTCACTTCACCTACTTACATTGGTTTGTTTACATCCCGCTGGTGCTTAGAAAAGCAGAGGCAAGTTTTTAGTACTTACAGTTTTAATGTAGGGGCATTAGAATCTTTTTTTGTTTGTTTACTGTCTTCCTAGTCTGAGAGATGAGATCACTAAAAGCCTGACTGAATATTAGCATGACCCTTTATTTGTATTTGCTAGAAATAAAGGAACCAAAACAACTTGAAAATGGATGGTACATGCTGGTAGATCTGATACTTTTCATTTGTTTTCATACTTTCTTATGTTTTCATGTGTTGGAAAAAAATCCATTGGCTGCAATGGATTATATACCTTCAGCAGTTTGCTCAACTAAACCACCTGGGTTGGCTACCCAACAGGTTCAACGGTCAACAGTGGTTTATTGACCAGCACTTTGTATAAGTCATGTTGTCATTTAGTAGCTCCAGAGACAGTGCCTAAAACTCTGCATTTGATCTCATGCCCTAGATGGTTCTGATGTAAGGATCTTTGGCCAGCACTCTGCAGGCACAGTTCTTGTTTTCAAGGAACTAGCCGTCCACTTGGGGATGTGGGATTTGGGAATTTTAGAATAGCAGATATGGGGCAACCTGTCCGGAACATCTAGTTGATCCCTAATTTCGTGCATGAAGAAGATGAGAGTCCAGAAAGGGCAGTTGAATTTTCTAAGACCGTATAAATTTATAGTAGAGTTTTAGGACACCAGCCTCTGATTCCAGGTCCCATATTTTTAAGGAGAAGCTACAGGGAACAATTTCAGCTTCATGTAATAAAGACATTTTAATACTCGTGCATCCTGGTCCAGTAGATTTACCATCTGCAAGTGAGAACCATATATGTGAACAGTATTCGGTTGGGCCATTATAAAGCTATCGTTTTTCAGTCAAAATGGTCAAATGTAAGCAATTTCAAAATGGCTCAATCTAAGTGCCCAATGCATCTCTGTCCAGGCCTGAGTACAATTTGTTGAAACTTGAGATGTGTGTCAGGAAGGATCCCAAGGAAAACAGATGGGACATTTCAATTAAGATAATTTGTGGAGGGTAGATTTGCAAAAGGACTCATTGTAAAGGTGTGGAGACACCCTCAGGGTAACGCGGGAACCTGAACACGTGTGTGTTACATAAGACAGACTTTCTCTGTGTAACCTGGAAAATTTGTCTATTTTTTATTGCGGTATCTTGGTTTTTTTTTTTAAGATTTATTTATTTATTTATTTATATAAGCACTGGGTACAGTCAGAAGCACGGGAGGGTGAGAGAATTCACCAGAGCCAGAGCGGGGAGCAGAGCAGGCAGAAGGACCGAAGTACACTGCTGAGGGGAGCAGCGGGCGGCAGGAGAGGTCTGCACGCCATGCGGGACCCACCTCCAGTGGCCGGGGAGCAGCTGGGGATCGAACCGGCGCTGCAGAGGATGCGGGCAGCTTCGCAACCCAGCGCTCAACCACTGCGCCACCAGGGAGGCCCTGCGGTATCTTGGTTTATAGCACTGTATGTGATTTAGGCAAATAGGTTCACCCCTCTTCAGACGTGTCTTACCTCACCCACGTCCATCCTCCATGATCCTCCACCATAGATCACTGGTCTCCCAAAGGCCTTTAAAACAGGTTTTCTTCAGAGCTGAAGAGATGGTTAGTGTAGGAAAGTCAAGGAAAGTCTCAGCGTTCATGCTACTCTAGCCATAACACCACAGGCCAGGCCAGGGAATTACGTACTCACAGTTTCTGCTTCATCTGTCTGATCTTCAGCCAAGGATGCCAAGTCCAAGTTGAAGGCAGAGCCGTGAGCTCCCTGCGAATGTAGTTTATTCAGATCAGCTTTATTGGAAGGAGAACAGGGCGGAGAAGGTGGAGAACATATATGGGAGTGGAAATGAAAAACATCTGTTCGAAGGCCTCCTAGTTACACGTTTAAGAGTAGCGTGGAGACAGTGATTTTGTAGGGACATGACATTCTGTCAACACTTCCGTATGTACGTCGTATGGCAGTGGCAGTGGCAGTGGTGACAGCGGATGCCGTGAATGAAGAAGAAACGGTTGGGGGTTGCTCAGTTCTTTCCTTGTCACAGCCGTAGCCTGAGTTGGTGCCGCTGTGTGTCGTCCTTCCAAGGTGTCGTCCTTCCAAGTGTGTGTTTTAATCCTGAAAGATATTTTCTCGGTCCTTATAATCTCGTCATAAATTGGCATCTGTGGTCACACATGTAAATACTAAGTCACTCTAAAGCATAAAGGACCTGGTTTTTATTTTACTTTAACTCAGCAAATGTGAGAGGTGGGGCTCATGTCAAGTGGGCGAGTCTCAGGCCGACACTTCTCGAGTTTCATTCCCAGTCTGCAGAGGGGCTGCAGGAAAGGACCGCTGGCTTGTTGGGTGGGCTGGATGTTTCCTAGCCAAAAACCAGGTTATTTTTTAAGTGGATTCTGTAAGGACATTAGAATGTGTGCTATGAATTCCAGGTGTTCCTCATCCCCTTCCAGTATATAAGTGGCTTCCACAGCGCTAGGTCTTTAGCTAGCCCTTCCCATTTATGTGTTTGCCTTGACTTGGAAAATGCAAACAGAGAATTGGGAAATGGTGAGTAATCTGATTTGCCCATGACTTCTAGTCAGAAAGAGAAGTAGTGGAACTTGCAGCTGTAAAAGCAGCCTGAGGCCGTGTGGCAGGTTCACGGCATCCCCGAACGTCAGGCTGCGCTGGGACCTGCAAGGCTGGTGAGCAAGGCTGGTGAGCAGGGCAGGCACATAATCTGAACAGAAATTTTTAAAAGCACCTCTATTTTATAGAGCTGGAATTGACAGATGGCATCATGTAAATTTAAGGTGTACAGTTGTTGCCTTTATACATTTATATTTAACAGCATGATTGCTGCACTAGCGTTGTCCTGTCATGTAGTTATTATTTCTTTTCTCTGTTGAGGACAGTTGCAATATAGTCTTTCAGCACCTTTGAAGTTTATAGTGCAGCATTGTTGACTATTATCACGATGTTGTGCATTAGATCTCTCCAGAACTGATCTACTATTTGTAAGTTTGTGCCCTTACACATCTCCCCCGTTCACCAACCTGCAACCCTGGGAACCAGCATTCTATTGTTTGAACAAGTTCAGTTTTTTCAGACTTTCCATGAAAGTGATGTACAGTATTTGTCCTCCACCATCTGATTTATCACTTAGCCTGAATGCCTTCAAGGTCCATCCATGTTGTATCAAACAGCAAGATTTCCTTTTTCTTTACAGCTGAGTAATATTCCATTGTGAAGATGTGTGCACGGTGCACTCACACATATACCACATCTCTTTGGCGCACACATCCAGTGATGGACAATTCGGCTGTTTCCTGTATATTCGCTATATGAGTAATGCTGCCGTGAGCGCGGGTGTCTAGATAGAGATCCCTTCAAATACCCACTTTAACTCCTGTAACAGCCACTTCTTTCACTTGATCCCTCTTTCCCCTGAAGTACCCAGGGCCTTTTTTTATTTCTAGTCCTGTCAAACCATATCAAGCGCTTTCCCCCAAGTGAAGTTACCTGTCACAGCCTGGACCAGATCAGGTGCTATGTGCAGTGCATACTGCTTGCAATGGCTGCTGGGACGTCCATCCTAGAGAGGCAGGAAGTAGCTGAGGCCTCTTGATAACTGGAAAACTCGGATATACTCCTAGCTCTGCCTCTCCCCAGTAAAATGACTGCAGGCAAATTTGGTGCTTCCCCCCCCACTCCGAGATTATTTCCACGTATATAAAATGATAGTGATTAGGGAATCTCTTCAGAGCTCTGGTCGCTTTAGCATTTAATGGACGGCTATTGCTTTGTTGCCATCGCTATGACGCACAGGAAGCGCTTGCTGGTTTGCCCGAGATATGGGGCTATTTAATTGGCCCAGTCCATTGGTTGAAATCTTGACTTAGAGCGTTTAGACATGTAATTGTTCCCTAGTATGAACTATTTGTTTCATCTCTTTTTCTTCTTCTACCTCAGACTTTCTCCTAAACATGCCCCGGATATTCCCGATGACAGCACCGACAACATCACTATCTTCACGAGAATCTTGGATCGCCTTTTGGATGGCTATGACAACCGGCTGCGGCCTGGGCTTGGAGGTCAGTGATGATTGTGAGATCTTCGTCTTATATATTCCCACCTGCAGAGACTCTTACGGTGCCTTCAGTGGTCATTGCCCGGTGAGGGGAGTAATGTCTGGGAGGCAGCCTCAGTTGTCTACACCCTGAGTACACATCAGCCCCACATCACTCCGGAGCAGCCTCCTGACTCGGGGAGGTCTTAGCTGCCCATCAGCTCAGTATGATCCGCGCTATGACCATGATGGTAAATGAATCGTAACATGTCATGGGCTGTACTGAGAGGACAAGTGTGTGTGTGTGTGTGTGTGTGTGTGTGAGTGTGTGTGTGTGTGTGAGATTTTCTTTTCTTGAATCATTTGAGAAGTAGTTGCCCATTTCGTGCCCCTTTGTCCCTGAATACTTCAGTGTGTATTTCCTTGAAACACAGAAATTATTTTATAAAGTTACAATACGAGTTAATTGTATGAGTAAAAGTGAAGCAACACGATGCGCTCCTGGAAGGGTAGTGTCCACAGTCAGCGCTCACCAGGGCTCTGAAGAGCGTCCTTTGCAGCCTTTCTGAGCCGCCGCCGCCGCAGCGCACTTCTGGCACTGCATTCGCTTCCACCCCGCCTGCCACCTGCTGCGATCACGCTGCTTTTTTGTCTTTTGTGACACTGGGCGAGCACTTCCTCACCCATGGGCCACCACAGCGTGGATTGTGACTTCTCGCTGCTAATACTACTCAAGAAAAGACGTGATGGCTGTTTGTGCCACTATGGGGAGGGCAGCTTGGGTGTTCACCACGTTACTTCACTCTGAAGTTATCCCCCCCAAGTTTATGATTAATAAATAATGGGTGGGGAAGTGATTTGAGATTATTCTGTCCCTTTTTCAGCATTTAGCACCTAGAGACTATTGTTGCGTGAACAGTCACTTGTGGTTGCAAAATGGTAATCTTCCAAATCTCTTACTCGTGGACACATACTTGACGGCATTCTGTCGTAAGATAAAACCTTTCATTGTCTTTAATTATGAAATGATCAGCATGAAAGGATGGATTCTTCTTTTATTCAATGAATTGCAGTCTATTAATGATACTATTCATTTGATTAGAATTTTGCCTATAATTTCCCAGATTTGTTTAGTGAGAGAATGTTCAAGCTGGCTTCACTTTCCCTCTTCTTTTGGGTACTTTTTCACTCTGTGGCATAACAGTATGTTCCAGACATCTTGCACTTTTCCTTAGTCAGCCCTGGAATCAGTCATTTTTCCAGGAAGAAATGGTATCTCCTTTTTGTGGGAATTTATCCAGTCCAACTTCTGAGGGCGAGTTGTTCTCATTGCTGCTGGGTTGCCACTGCTGCTAGGACCTTTCAGTGGACAGAGCTGGCCAAGTAGCAAATTATAACAATTATATATGTATGCATGTGCTTGTATGCACACACATTTACAGACACATTAACATACATATGTGTGCGAATGTCTACAAGTGTACTCATGTGTGCTTATTTGATATATATTTTTGTGTGTATAAATACACACATGCACATTTACAAACACACATACAATATGTGCATCAATGTACAAATATGCGTGTGAACATCAACATTCACTCTGTGTGCGTATGTAATGCGTTTATGTGGATGCCACTAATTCCACACAATGTGGTACTCACTGACTTGCCCGTTTACTGAAACCTGCAGCACACGCAGCAGCACTGGAGTTCCTGCATCTATGCGTTACCCCAAACACTTGCCATTGCTGCTGCTGTTTGCCTGTGCTGAGGTGAAGCCTGTGGGATACTTTCCTTGGTGTAGATACTAGGCTGCATCAGGGCAGTCATGGAGGGAGAGAGGGCCAGTTGCAGTTGTGCAGGCTGAAGGTGATGGCTGTGGGGATGGAGAGGATCTGGTGAGTGAGTAAATCGTGGGGGTAGGCCATGCAGGGAGAGAAGCGTAACTTCTAGGCTCCTCGTTGGAAGGACTGGGCGGTACTGTTCTCTAAAACAGGGCACATTGGAGGAGGAAAAGTGTTGTTTTGTTGCTTTTGAATTTTTGGTTTCTTTTGGAGTTGTGGTTTGAAGGTAGGGGAAGAAGGTGGAAGGTAATTTAGTGGTAGACATGTAGAGTTTGAGTGTCTGTGGGAAATAGGAATGGAGCTTTTTTCTTCTGACTAACACGGAGTAACAGGGACCAGCCTTACCTTCTTATCTTAAAAACAACAATTAAGAAACGGGCAGATGTAAATGGTTTTCAGAAAGTGAACAAAGGCAACCCGTGACAGTGGCCCTTCAAGGGAGGGAAATAAACATGGTGACCCGTGTGACTCTGTCAGCTTGCTGTCGGAGAGCATTTCGGGGTTCAGTGCAAAGAATCCAAACAGTCCCAGTGGACTCCCTTAGTCCTTGAGAACGATTCCTGAATGTTTGCAGGCCAAGGTGGCTAAATATGCAGGGCAGAGTAGAGGAAGGAGGAGGGAGGCGTTGTTGCAACTGTGAGGCTAAATTCCTCTGCACGAGATCCCATCATCCTGTGCGCAGAGCCTTCTTTTGGGCTTTTTTTTTTTTTTTTTTCCCCTGGCTCCAGAGTTTGTGACGTGCTCTTCTGTGTCTTCATGCTTAGGTTTTACTGGGACGTGCTGTCAGGTCGCTGCCTTTGTACTTGCTGACGTACTCCGACACCTGGTGCCAACAGGGGTGGCAGGCAGAGACAATGTGAGGCAGCAAGAGGCAGGAGGCGTCCGGGAGCTTTAGGGTTTCAGTGTCCTGCTGTGCTGCAGGAACAAGATGCATTAGAGAGCATCAATAAAAATAAGCTATTTTTTTATGTGAAGATTAATAAAATCAAAATTGTAGCTAGACTATCAGGCTGGAAAGAGAGAAGACAGGAATTACCCACATGAAGGAAGACAGAGAGAGTGCATCAGTGCAGCTCACGCAGCACTAAACAGTGAGGAAATGCTGTCAAAAGTACTGGCATTGGATACAGAGAGAAAAAGACACATTCCTTGAAAGACACAGCCCAGCGAATGCCACCGAGGACCCACTGGCAAGAAGGCCGCCAGCTACTACAATGGCGTTGTAATGAAAAACCTTCCCATTCAGAAAGTTCCTAGCTTCGTGCGTCTTTGTCGGCGAACTCTGAAAAACGTTTAAAGAAGAAATGATACCAGTTCTAGGGAAAAAAATGTTGCTGAGAAGACCCTTCCTGGCACATTTTATTAATCCAAAAGTACTTCACCCCAAAAGCAGATACAGGCATGACCTGGAAAGGAAAGAAGCCATTATCCCTCCCGGACATGCAGGATTTCTTCACAAGATCTTAGAAAATTGAATTCCTGATTGCTCGTCATAACTAAGTGAAGTTTATCCTAGGATGACAGGGTTGGTGTAGCATTCAAAAGTCTCTCACTACAGTTTCTTATATTTACAGAACTAAAAAAGGGAAAACACAATCATCTTAATACAAATAAAGGATTTGATAAACTACTCCTTCCAGTCATGATTTCCTTAATAGCCTCCCTCAGCAAAGTAGGAATAGTAGGAAACTTTCAGCCTAATCATGGGTGTCTTCGGAAAACTTATTACTACCATCATTTTCAATGATGAAAAGTTGAATATCCTTTCCATAAGGTCGAGGGTAAGGCAAGGATTTCAGCTAATTCTACTTTCTTTTGAACATGAAAGGAACACTTTTGAATGTGTGTGTATAATGTTTGCATGGATTCATTTGCATTTGGTATGATTATGTAGGAAATCACAAAAGGTCTAAAAGTAGTAAGTGATTTTGGCAAGGTTGCAGGATATAGGTCCCTATACAAAAATAAGTCATAATTCTATATAAAAGAAAATAATTAGAAATTCATATTAAAGAATTGTAATTAATAGCAAGCCATGAAGCTGTTTAGAAGAGAATTGGGAACTGCTTGCGATCCCTTTGAGACATAGTATTCTCTGACTGCTAAAAGTCATTTCATTCATAATATTTAAAAAGCTGCCCGGAACTGGCTCCGGGAGGTTGTGATACATAGTTCTTTGGAGAGCTCCAGCTACAAGCCAGAGCCTTTTTGGGAGGCCGGCTAAGTGCTTCTCTCTTTATTACCTACCTACTCCTTAAAGGGTCAGCTCCACTCCCCTTGCTGGTGTCCTTGGCATTACTAGAATTGGCAGAGGCTAAGAACATTCTGTAAACCTCCCTAAGGAAGCAGACATTTCTACACACGCGAGCAGTACAGGAAAGCGACGGTGACATCTTGAGCTCTTGAACTTTTGGCATGAGCAGGGTGATTGTCAAGCGAAAGATGGAAACCCATGGTTGATAGTAAAGACATTTGCTGACTGCCCAGAGGACTCTTCTCCGTTCTCTCAGAACAGAGATGAGGTTTAAATGATCCAAAATTCAATGTGTGTGTTCCCTGGAGAGAACATGGGTAAGTGGAGGGAGGGCGACTGGATGGAGGGCGTCCCTGTCTACCTGGATCATTGTCTGCCTTACAATTAGCATCTCTGGGGTCATCTTTGGAGCTGAGTCTTGACTGTAAGTAGGAGGGACAGGAGCAAAGGTTTTTTATTTGTTTTTTATTTTTAAATTTTTTTAAAGGTTTATTTATTTATTTATACAAGCACTGGGTACAGTCAGGAGCGTGGGAGGGTGAGAGGATTCACCAGAGCCAGAGCGGGGTGCAGAGCAGGCAGACTGACGAAATACACTGCTGAGGGGAGCAGCTGGTGGCAGGAGAGGTCTGCGTGCCATGTGGGACCCTCGCCTGGCGGCCGGGGATCCAACTGGCGCTGCAGAGGCTGCGGGCAGCTTCGCAACCCAGCACTCAACCACTGCGCCACCAGGGAGGCCTTGTTTTTTTGTTTGTTTTTCTTTTTTTAAACTTTAATCTTTGCTTCTTTTTTCTTTTTTTTTTTTTAAAGATTTATTTATTTATATAAGCACTGGGTACAGTCAGAAGCGCGGGAGGGTGAGAGGATTCACCAGAGCCAGAATGGGGAACAGAACAGGCAGACTGATGAAACACACTGCTGAGGGGAGCAGCGGGTGGCAGGAGAGGTCTGCGCGCCATGTGGGACCCTCGCCAGCGGCCGGGGTTCGAACCGGCGCTGCAGAGGCTGCGGGCAGCTTCTAAGCCCAGGGCTCAACCACTGCGCCACCAGGGGAGGCCTCCTGTTTTTTTTTTTTTTTTTTAATGGGCATATTTGAGTACAAAGTATTTTTAAACTTCTGCATTTGAAAACAAGGCAGCCTAGGTTAAAGAACGCGGCTCTCCAAAGCCGAAGGTGCTTGCCGGCAGCTCAGCTTTTCTGCTCGGTGTATGAAAGCTGCCTCGTAAAAGCAGCCTGACTTCCAGGTCTTTTCTCCTGGATTGTTGCTCCATCCTTCCTTGCTTTCTGCCCTCCTGTCTGTTCCTTTTGTTCCACTTTGGTGCTTCTGATCAACTCTGGGCTTAGAAACCAGGAGACCGGAGACTCACGGAATATTTTTCTGAAATGCACAAACACTTCATATTAAGGAAACCGAGGCTTGGGGAGGTAAATGTCTCCTTCAAGATCACAGAGCTTGTAACTCCTCAAGTTTGTGCCAAATCCTCCTGAGATCTGAGTCAGCGCTTCCCCACCATGTTTCGGTAAGCACTGGCTCAGGGACAGGTGGGCGCAGGTGCGGTGTGAAGGGAGAGGCTGTGGAGGACAGCATCAGCAATGAGTGAAAGAGAATGACAACATTTGAATTGATACAAAATACGTGTTGATTCTTTACAATGTAGGTAGCCAATGCCAGGTGGAGGAAATTGAGAAGGGAGATGAAAGCCCGAGGTTGGTAGAACAGAAATCGGCATTTGTGGGAGCAGTGAGTGGGGGAGGCTGACCTGAGGGTGGCTTCTGCCCACCAACTCTTGTTTGGCTTGGGGCGGAAAGGGAATTTTGGAGACTGAAATTTTTGAGAATTTGGGGAAAGAGGCAGAGAAGCTTGTCCTACAGTACCTGTGTGCGGGCCAAGACTGTAGCCAGGGCTGAGCTGCAGTGGCGTTAGTAGCACCCACCGTGGGTCGGTTGGTAGGCGAGGTGGTCTTTTACATCTTGTCTTTCTTGCTAGTGTCGCGTTAGAAACATGGTGTGCGCTGCTGGCTGTGTCCAGGTTAGCTGTACATTCCAGGCAGCAGACACTAGGTGGAGTAGCGTAAAAGGGGCGCCAGGCCTCTGCCCACCGAGTGTCAGTGCTGGGCTGAGCCGGCCTGAGGAAGGCGAGCGAGCAGAAGGCAGGGCTCGGATGAGCTCGGGGCCCTGACAGAGGCTTGTAACTCCTGCTTCCCTAAGCAACTGTTTGTGATTCCTCTGGAGTGCGTGTCTGTGATGAAGGCTGTTGGGTGCTGGGCCAGTGGGTACTGGCACTAGCTCTCTCTAAGTGCTGTCAAAGGCAGACGAAAAGGCCGTTGACATGAGAACAGAGCTGTCTAGCTCTCAGATTTGCCAGCGCCTGTCCATCCGCGCCGGAGCCTGCTCCCTGAGCCCTCGCACACCCGACAGTCACCCCACAGCGCGCATCCAGCAGCCCAGCCTTTTCAAGGTGAACAGTGTATGCAGCAACAAGCACTTAAAACCAGAATTGCCAGCAATCTAGAAATAACAAAACAGAAAAGCCAAGGCTTTGTTGTTTTACCCGAAGCCCCAAACCTCAAAGCCCCGCAGTTCCTGGAAGAGCGCCGGAAGAGAGGACGCGGCGCTGCTGGCCTTCGCTTGAATCATCCATCTTGTGACGATGCTGTAAACGCTCATGCTTGGCACATGAAGGTGGTTTTCCCCACCAACTCCTTGAGCAGACTCTTGTTTTTGAAATAATCTCTTCCAATTTATTTTTATATTCACATTTTAATGCCAATAAAAGCTGAATTTTCTCAATATTTTTGTTGTGCCATCATATCAGCAGTCTCTCGTGGGCTCGGTTGTGCTGTCCTGGGACAGGTTGGCATCGCCAAGGGCTCTCCTGTGCGTGGATTGCCAGCACATCTACTGCCGTGGCACATCTGCCGGCCAAAAACTTAATCCTACTCGCTTTTGGTCTAGAGGGTAACATTGGAAGGAAATGGGATCCCCAAGCCAAAGAGCAGGGGGTGTCTGAAAACAATTGTTTAAAAAATGAGGGGAACCCTGTTACGTCCGCCGCGTGTCGCTGTTGAGAAGGCCGGGCGCACGGCCCAGACCGCCTTGTCGCCTCCCCAGGTTCCACATTTTCATTTAGCAGCGTCGTTTGCGCACACAGAGCAGCTGCGGGGGGGGGGGTGCTCCTCAGTGCACACCTGAGCGGATGGCGAAGCACCGTCTCCTTCGCTCCTCAGAACCTGAGCATTATCCCAGTTTTCCCGATGAAGGCGTAGGCCCAGAAGAGTGTCCTGAGAAGAGGCGCGTGAGGAGTAGGAGGAGAACCGAAGTGCAGTCCCCGTCGGGCGTGCTCCAGCCTGGGCGCTGTCGAGCCCGGCTGCAGGCAGCGGGTTTCCTGCGCCGAGTGGTGCGCGTCGGGCCTGGTGGGCCTGTGCAAAATGTCCCTGCGCCTGGCCTGAGGGCGCAGCCAGAGTTCTCAGGGTGGCAACGCGGAGTCAGCCCGAATATGCTGTCTCCGCATCGGGGTCCCGGGGTCCTCTGGCGAAGACAGCCTTGCCTGGCCTTTCCTCTCTCAGCACTTTTGTCTGCCTGTTGCTCTGAGCTCCTGCTCTCTGTTCCCGTGGTTTTATTTCCTCCTCCCCTGTCTGTTCCTCAGGTATCATGATCTCCCCCCCCCCCCGCCCCCCGTTCAGCCCCGCCCTGGCTTCCCTGCTCTCTAGTTCCCGCTCATTCAGCTCCACCCGGCCACTCAGCAAGCCCTCGCTTGCCGTAGCTCCCCCACTCAGGAAGCCCAGTTCATGGAATGTGATCCAAAGTGGCTGCCTGTAAGTGCGGCAAGGAAGGGGGTGCCCCCCACGGAGGGGCATCTGTGACAGCCACATCCTGCCTGGAGTAGCGAATCCAAATGTAATCGTGGTCTCTCCCCTTAACTGCGTGATTGACTTTGTCCTGGGGGGCAGGGCAGAGCTGCTCCGGCGTGTCCCGAGGGGGGCACGTTGTGGGTTCTGAAGCCGTGGGTCTTCTTTCTCCAGCGCGGAAATGACTCGGGAGGAGCCTGTGCTCTAGGTGACAGCCTGGCTGTGTGGAGCACAGCTCTGCTTTCAGAGACATGTTATTTGCTGATCAAGCTCGGGAGTAAATTACGTGTTTGGTAATAGACTGTGGTGTTGATGATTATTCAATGATCCTCACACTCTTTCTGGAAATGGCGTGTCTGTGAGGGCGCGCGCAGGGCTGAGCAGGGGAGCAGGGCGTTGGCCGTAAGGGGCAGTTGTGTAGCGCGTGAGGTCAACAAAACCTAAAGGCTCTCCCAGCCGGAACCCAGCCCTGGGGGATACAAGGGGTCACGCCCGTGTGGCGGAGCCGTGTTCCTGCCGCGCCCCGCCCGGCCCCTGCTGACATCTACCAGGCTCTTGTGTGCCTTTCGTGGGTGGTAGTTGCGTGTTGCCGGGTGGGCTGGGGGGCGGAGGGGTGGCGCTTTCTTGAATTTGTTGTGCTATAAAGTGTGTGCTAGACGGAAGTAGCCTTGGCCAGGCTGGAGGAGGCTGCCCGGGCTCTGTGGAGGTGCATGGGGTGCGGGGGCTGGTCGGGCAGCAGTGGGCTGCGCAGGCTGCGCAGGGCAGGGCAGGGAAGCAGCAGTGGGCGCTTTCATTCTCCGGGCGTCGCCGTCCCACTTGGCAGAGATGCGATGCGCGTCTTCCGTGTATGCCGAAGTGTGCGGTGGGTCCCGTTTGAGGAAGCGGCCCTCCTCCTGCGTCCTGAAGACACCGAGCTAACAAGGCCGAGACGCAGCGGGGCGTCTCCGTCTCCCGAGGTCCCGCGTCGGCGTTTCCGTGCAGCGATGCAGGGCGAGCCTGGCCCCGGACGCTCTTGCTCCAGCCAGGGAGGGCACACGTACTTCTCCCCACCAGCAGGATCAGCCCGTGGCCCGGCCCTACTCTGCGCAGACAGAAGCCTTGGTGCGGGCCGCGCGCCTCAGGCGGTGCAGCTGGGCACTGGGACGCTGTCATCTCCCCCGGTCGAGGGGAGCTGCACCGCCGGTGCCCGGCACGGGGCCTGCGTGGGCGTGAGATCCCCGCGGGGCTTCCCAAGTGTGGCTATCCGGGGACTCCGCTGTCATTAGCAGTGATACCTGGACAGGGCGAAGTGGTGCAGGCGAGAATTTCTCCTGGGGGTTTCCTCTGACTGCCCAGCGCCCCTGCTCCGCCGGAGCAGGCTGTCTTGGGGGGCTGCACTGGCTTTCCTGACACTCTGCTTCTCCGCTTTCTTTGACGCAGATGCGGTGACCGAAGTGAAGACTGACATCTACGTGACCAGTTTCGGCCCCGTGTCAGACACTGACATGGTAAGTGTCATTCCTGCGACGGGAAGGGTGAGAGGTGGTGCTGTTACAGGGCGGGGAGAGGGGCAGCCCAGACCCCCCAAACCTGCCTGCTCTACATAGGCGCTGCCATCCGCCGCATCGACACAAAACATAGGAGACTTTAATGGGAAGGAACTTTAATACGATTAGGAAACAACGCAGGAAAGGCAAAGAATCTAGTTTGTAAATCAAGCACCCAAAGTGACCCGTCCCCTCGTGGGCAAAATCCACCCAAGCAGGATTGGCCCAGAGCAAGGCCCTGCCACACTCTAAAGCATTTTCCCGTGGGGACCCACAGAAAAGGGTCAGAAAGAAGCAGACAAGTCTGGAGGGAAAAGAGCAAAATCAAAAGCAAGACAAAAACCGCCATGGTCCCCTCCCCACGGGTCTCCCCCACATCTGTGTCACCCCGTCCACGACCAAAAAGGCAGGCGCAGTTTCTTCACGCGTCTCTCGGCTCCATGCGCCTCCTCCAGGTCTCCTTGTGGCTCCACCCTGCTTCCTTCCTTCCTCAGTCTCCTCTGAAGCTGCTTCTCCCTGCTCAGCTCCACCCTCCCTTTGGGTGGGGCAGGGAACCTGCAACCTCCCCCTTTCCTGGGGACCCCCCTGTTACAGTGCAACAAATCAAAGAACATAACCCGAGGTTCTCCCACTGCGGGGCCCTCTGGGCTTGCTCTAAGGAGAGTCTTGCATGACTTCTCCGCCCTTGCCATGCTTCTGTTGGCCGGACTCCTCTCTTCCCCGCCCCCCCACCGCTCCCGCAGCATCTACCCTTAGCACGAGTACACTCTCCTCTGCCCACAGCCCGTCTTTCAAAATTCAGCTCGGCTCCTTGTCCTCCGTTAAACCTTGACTGCTCTCGCCCTTCACGTTGTGCCGACACCACACACATTAGCACAGCTGGTTCACATGAGGGGAGCTTCGCCGTGGTGCCTTCCAAGAAATGTGTTCCTTGCACACGGGCCCTGGTCCCTGGGGACGTGGACTGAGAGTGATGCAAAGTGTTTAGAGCAAGAGTCAAAACCACTTCTGGAAACCGGCCCTTTTACAGATGTGAGCAGGCTGGGTGGGGGTTGGGGATGCTTCAAAGTAGATTTAAGGAGTGGGCAGGGCAGACAGAGCCACCAGAGGTGACTCACAGGCCATCTGCAGGGACTCCCTCCTCCAGCATGCTCTCCTGCTGCCCGAGCAAAGAATGCAACGGGGAGTTGAGGCAAGAGACACCCCCCACCCTAATGGACTACCTGCTCAAGACCTACTAGGCACCAGATATTTGATTCAATAATTATCATATAGGAAGGCAAAGAAGGTATTAGCTGCTTGGTGTGCCTGGCAGTTAGTAGATGCTCGGTGAACATTTGTTGAATGAGTAGCTCTGTGTTGGAAATGAAAATCTTAAAGGTGCAAATTACTGACACATTTAATTACACTTAGAAAATATGTTCAAAAGAATATGAAATGTCCGTGTTGTTCAGTGCTCAGGGTTTTCTTCTGTATCTCTGTTTATGGGACAAGGCTTCTTTACCCTGTGGGGAAATGCAAATGGTCCTGCGAGGGCGCATAGTTTGCCCCACAGGTAACACAGCACCACCGGGTGGATTTGCCTGGAGCAGTAACAGGACACTGTGCTGTGCTGTGCTGTTCAGGATGACTCAGCTGGCAGCCTGCCCGGATGGGCCACGGCGGGGAAGCCTGGAGGCCGAGGGCTGGTTTACACGTGGCCGTTGTACAGTTCTCTCTTGTCAGGTCGCTCTGGGTCAGTGGGAGAAGCAGGCTGGTTCTTAAGACACAGAGCCTGGGTCCTCAGGCAGGGGGAGGGGACATGCCCGAACTTTTGCCTTTCAAATATGGCATAAAGAGAAGGGCACGCAGACATAGTGAACTCGCTGGGAACTCCTGCAGGGAAAGCACTGAGTCTTCCTGGCCTCCCTGGCACTTCACGGAGTGCTTGGCACATGGGAGACCTCAGTAAGCGCATGTTGTGTGTGTGAGGTTGGAGGGCTGGCCTCTCTTAAGGGCAGAGACCCTTATGTCTAGACTTCCCCTCTCATCTGCTGTCCCTCATGCCCAGACAGCAGGCACGTGTTACAATTTTGCCAGTTGGTCATTCAACAAGTAGTCCTTAGTAGCCCAACTCTGCAAGAAAGAGTTGTAGAGAACCCCCTGACATGCAGAGAGCTCATTGGGCATCACCAGATTTATCAGGAATGTCCTTGTATTGCTGGGGGCCAGCGATGGCTTAGGATTTTTACCAGAAAGTAACTGGAGCGACTTTGTGAACACACACTCATTCACTCACTCACTAATGCGCCTACATGTACAAGTGCTTCCAGAAAAATATACATGCAACCAAGAAAATACATGCAGAATACAACAGCCTACACACTGTTCCTGGCGCAGACCCTGGATCCAGGGAGGAGGGAAGCGCATGCAGCCCCTGCCTGCTCAGCACCCCCGCCACCGCCTCCCCAAACAGGGACCCGCGTGTGTGCGGAGTCTCCACAGCCCAGACTTCCAGTCTTGTTTGAAATTTCATATTGTGCTTTGCTGTTTGGTTTTTCTCCCTCATGATTAAGCAGAAACTGCAGAATGCCTCTCCTGATAGGGAGGGCAGATTTTGGTCAAATAAATTTTAGGTTATTTTTAGCTGTACTTTCATCCTGTCACCGGGCAAAATACCTAGGATCGCTCTGGCTAGGAAGCACATTTGTGAGGGTTTGTATTTTTTTAAGAAGTGGGGTACAGGCCAGAGTTGCGGGCAGGGGGGCAGTGAGAAGACCCATCAGAGAGAGCAGGGAGCAGAACAGGTAGATGCACTGAAACACACCGCTGAGGGGAGCAGCGGGCGAGACAGGAGAGGTCTGCCGCACCGTGGGGATGCTCCCCGCCGGCCGGGGATGGAACTCGCGCTGCAGAGGCCGCGGACAGCCTCCCAGCGCTGCGCTCATCCCCCTGCGCCACCAGGGAGGCCCATGTTTGTGAGATTTTTAAAAACTTCGTCTTTGGCACCACTGAACAGGCTGTGGCCGTTTTCCCTGGTGACCTTGGGCGGAATGTCACAGTCCTCTGACTTTAGCAACTAGGTAAAGCAAGAACCAGGCTCCTCTGAGACGCCAGGCTGCCAGGCCAAGTAGGTGAAAATGAGGGCTGCCGGGACTCCTCGCGCGCTTCCGGTCCAACAGGGAACTTTGGCCCAGTGTACTTTCCTAGGGAAATAGAAACAGTCTTTTGTTTGCAAATACCTCTTTTTTTAAATGCATTGCCTGTATGTTTTGTATGGTTTTAGGTCTTATATCCAAGGTTTTAATGCATTTAGAATTAATTATTGCATATAGTGTTAAAGATGTGGTTTGTTTTTCTTCCGCATGTAGCTGTCCAGGTTTGCCAGCACCATTTGTTGAAGAGGCTTTTCTTTCTTCATTTCATGTTCTTGGCTCCTTTGTCAGAGATTAGTTGCCCGTACGTACATCAGCTTATTTCTGGACTCTGCCGCCTATTCCAGTGGCTGTGTGTTTTTTGGTTTTGTTTTTTGTTCACATACCATACTGTTTTTGATTACTGTTGCTTTGTAGTATGATTTGAAGTCAAGGAACAAGATACTTCCATTTGTCTTTTCTCTTAGATTTGTTTTGGCTATTTGGGGCTTTTTGTGAATCCATATAAAGTTTAGAATTGTTTGTTGTATTTCCTAGAAAAATGTCATTGAATTTTGGTAAGGATTGTGTTGAATCTATAAATTGCTTTTGGTAATGTAGCAGTTTTAACAGTGCTTATTCTTACACCACATGAGCGTGGGATAGCTTTCCATTACTTTGTTCTTCTTCAAAGGAAATTATCTGTAGGCCAGTACCCTGATGCAGTCAATGGGCTGATGACATTTCCATGAGCATTAGTTGATTTCTGGTTGTGTGTAAAGGAGAGGTTTATCAAAAGTTCCCTGCTCTACCATATCATGGGTGGAGTCTCCCCTAACTGTCTAGCTTAATGAAAAAATAAAATGCAGGCTTGGAAAATGAGAAACCATAAAAGACATAATCACAATTCTTTTTGTTTTTCTAAAAGACCAAATATACCTTTCTTGTTTCTATAAACTCTGGTGGAATAGGATTCTATGTGACATCCATTTTTAAAAAATAATTAAATCAGCCTGCCTTTGGGTCAGTCACACTAGAGAGACTCCATCATCGTGTGTACACATGCCTACAGGATTGACGGATGTTATCTGGTAGGTAGTAAAATGTTGTGGCAATTTTCCAGCGTATATCCCAAAGTAAAATAGATGGGAGATATTGGTGTTCTTGTATAACAAATGGATAAAAGCAATTTTCCTGAGAGAAGATTTGTTCTTGAAATATTTTCCTTTAAACAAATGTAAATTTAGAAATGAGATATAATTATAAAAGAAGCTTAAGAATGTCTAAGGTGATATTTTTTCTTTTAAATTATGTAAGTACCATTAAGTTTAAATGTTGACACTCATTATAAAAAATGCTGTTAAATCTTATGTAAATGGTTAAACACTGATAGCTACAATGCAGATTGCACTTAAAATATATATATAGGGCAGAAAAATATCTTGTTTGCTACCCTGTTTATAAATTTCAACTGATTTCATATCACTTACACAATATGGACTTTGAGAAACACCCATCACCGTGCAGTTGCAATGGGGATGCTTTCCTGCAAACTGAGAAATATTTTAACAAGAGATCTCATGCACCAGCTCAGCCTCAGATGCTGTAGCAATGGCCTCAAATGGTCTTCTCCATGAACACATGTGGAATTTGGCTGTAGAAAAGGTATGAAAAGTTCTGGAATAACGAAAACTGATCAGAAGTGCATGACAAAGCACATAACATTTTTTAATACCCCTTAGCAGGTAGGGCTCAGGTTACAGTCCCTGTTTCTGGAAGTGGCACAGGGGACATTGAAGCCGGTGGCCCAGGGCAAAGGTGGACTGGAGGTGGGGCTCCATCTTCCCT